GGCTTTTATTCCTTGATTCTCACCCAGGGTCATCAGCAGCTTTTAAACCAGTAAAGTCGTGTTCCCATGCTCCCCACTGCTGAGATGAAGCCATATATACACAGCCAAGAAGAATGGACAGCTGAATTAAAAAACCATCAACAATTTCCAGAATTTAAAATCCTGAATCATGACATGACACTAGTGGAATTCAGGTGTTTCTGGTACATGGACTGCTCTCACCCAATGTGAGGTTGAACTGTTTACCTTGTGTACATCCTACTTCACAAATGAGTCTGTCAGATATGCTAAGCCTATTGGCTGAAGATGATGCCCCAGCACTTCAGAGAAACCTCAGGTGACTGTCCAGACAGCTGTCTGTTTCTGTCAACTCACAAATTTTTTGGAAGTTGCTTATGTGCACTTCCTGTTTTTATTTTTGTTAGCTAATATTATTTCCTTCTTGGGTCTCTGAGGGAGTTGAAGATTAGTTAGTTATAGTTGAAGGTTAGTTAGTTATAGTTGAAGATTAATTAGGATACATTTTGGACTTACCAAAATAGGATAGATAATGAAATTATTTTCTCTGAATTTGTCAAATACAAATGGACTAGACATTGTTTAGGTATTTATTACTTGTATATATTGTATATAGTTGTTGTACTTTTGTATATAGTTTTTCTTATATTAGTTATAAGCTTTTTCTTTTTTTCCTTTTTATTAAAATAGAAAAGGGGAAATATGGTGATATTTTATTTGTATTAAAATATTATTTGTATGTTAATAAATAAAGTTGCCCGGGGGTCAGAGCTATTAGCAAGCCATAGGAAAGCAGGGCAGTGGTAGCGTATGCTTGTAATTCCAGCACTTGGTAGGCAGAGCTGGGTAAGTCTCTGTGTGTTCAGGGATACAGCCATTATTGGATACACATGCCTTTAATCTTAATACCAATCATGGAAAACCTGGAGGCCTATACAGACAGGCTGTGAGGAGGCGGTCATGTGGTTGGGTTTACAACCAATGAGAAGGCAGGACAGGAACTCTATATAAAGACTTTAACACAGGGGTAGCTCTGGTTCGGAGAGGTAGGACCACCGCAGGAGGAAGGGTAAGGTTTTAGCTCTTAGCTCTGACCTCTTGGCTTTCTTCTTTGCATTGGTTCTGTGTTTATTATTTAATAAGAAGGTTGGATACATCTACACCCCACCCCTACTGTTTGCCATAGAATGATCCACCTGCTTCTGCATTTTCCACATTTACATGGCTGGTCTATCTGTGTTCTCTATAAGAGACAATCAGGACAATTCAGGCATGTCCTCTTTAGATTTAAAATATTTAGCACCGTGTTTTATTAAACCGCTTGTCATTGTTTGTCACAAATCTACTTGAAATTCCATGTCACCACTTTATGACATGAGCTAATGCATCTTCTGAGTAATGACCGTGTTCTCGCTAACACTGGCTCAGTGTTTGCCCAGTAAGTGTTATCAAGCTCACCTCTATTGCCAAGCTCTACGGAAGAAACTATTATCATTTCACGTACACCAAAGCACCTGCCGCTTGGAACCAGGGAAGGACCGGCTATGAGAACTTCCCAGTAAAAGGAACATAGGCTGCCTTTCTGTTCACTGGCGTTACAGCCTTACTGGCCTATGGGATGTACTCAGCAGGTGTGAATGTTCCTTCTTAGTCAGTGTGGAGAGGCTAGCTTCCAGAAAACACCTTGCAGCATGTGGTCAGGCACACAGGTACATTTAGGGTGCCCAGGCTTCTGTGTCCTAGTGACCAGGACAGTGTTGTCAAAGTTGGCGGCAAAGCTCTTAAGAGTTTGATCACAGCTTCCAGTCTGCAAACCACTGTCCCTCTTCAAAAATAGCTGTATTGGAATTTAATTCAGGTATCACCAAATCCACCCATTTAAGGTACAGTTCCAGGAGATGTGCATTGTTACCCTAGCCAAGTGCAGGGTATTGCTGTCACCTCAAGAAGAAAGCACCTGTTTTTTAGGTATCACCTTCTTCCCCAAACCACAAGCCCTAGGCACCCACTCTAGAGATGCTTGTCTTGAGCACCCGTGTTCATGGAATCATTGACTATGTGATGCTTTGCGACCTTCTTACCCCGAGCATAATGCTTCAGGGTGCATCTGTGCTGTAGCCGGCATCGGCTCTTCCCTCTTCCTATGCTGAGATAGTTCCGTTGTATAGTGTAACCCATTCACCACTAGTAGACACGTGTGTTGCTTCCGTCTGTGAACATCACTGCTGTAAACACCCGTGCACAGGTTTTTGTATGGGAAAGTGTCTTTATTTCCTTTATGCGCACACCCAGGAGTACAATTTCTGAGTCATGTGGGAATTCTGCTTTATGTGTCTGTTTTCCAAAGTGGCTGGGCCACTCTTAGTTTATGAGCAGTATGTGAGAGTTCTGATTTCTATGCAGCACTTCTTATTGTCTGTTTGGGGAGCTTTGTGGAACTGAGGCCTTGAGTGTGTTAGGCCGGCAATGTTTCTCTTGACCTTACCATGACAATTTTCCTAGGTGTGTTAATTACAATAAAGAAATTAGTGAGGATTCTAACAGGGATTGTGTTGATTTTGTTGAACATTTTTAGTATATTGCCACCTTAATGATAAAAAAAATCTATGAATATTGTATTTTCACCATTCATTTGCATCTTCTTCCAACAGTGCTGTGTATTTTTCCAGCTCATAAATCGAGATTTCTTTTGTTTAATTCATTTTCAAGTGTTTCACTGTTTTAATCTTATTGTATGGAATTGCTTTCTTAACGTTATCTTCAGATTGTTCAGTGGAAGTATATAGAAATACAATTGATTTTTGTGGATTGATTTTGCATCCTACAACCTTGGTGATAATTTATGAATTCCAACCATCTTAAAACTGAGTTCCAGAGGCCTTTGCATGCACAGAGGCCATCTTACTTCCTTTCCCAATCTGGAAGATTGTCCTTGCTTTTTCTTAGCAAAAATTTCAGCCATGGCTGAAACCTCCAGCAGAAAGCTGATGGCTGAAGCGGTGTCCACAGGGAACAGCATCCACGTTTTTCCCACAAACCGTGATGTCACCTGTGGACTTTCGAAGAACCTTTGTTAGGAGATTCCCTTCTGTCCTGGTATTGACTGATATTTATCATGAAAAGGTACGAGGTTTTGTCCCAGGTTTTTCTGCCTCTATTGAGGTGATCATGTAGTCAATATGGCATATTAATTTATTTTTGGATGTTGGATTACCTCTCAATTCCTCCTTACTTGGTGTAACTCTTCCTGAATGCCATCAGGTTCAGTCTTGTTGGTACTTGGGGAGGATTTCTGCATCCATGTGAACAGGAGCCTGTTGCCTGGAATTCTCTTTTCCTATGGTGTCTGTCTAGATTTGGTATCAAAGTGGCATTAGCTTTATAAAATGATTCCGATAGCATTCTCTCCTCTTTTACTTTTTTGGGAGAATTTGTGAAAAATCTCTATTTTTTTTTAATCTTGAAATGTTTGGTAGAGTTTGCCTCTAAATCATTTGTCTTTTCTCTTTCTTTGTGGGTATTTTTTTAAATTGCTAATTCAGTCTCTTACTACAGGTCTATGCTATACAGATTATCAATTCTTGAGTCAACTCCAGTAATTTGCCATTTCATTCAAATTACCTAATTAATTACAGTCATTTATCACATGCTTTAACTTTCCTTATTCCTGGAAGGCTGAGAGAAAGATCTCTTTATTTCTGAGTCTGGCGATCTGAGTTGGCTATGTTTTGTCAGGTCATCTAAAGAAGTGTTCATTTTCTTAGTGTTGTCAAAGAACCAGCTTTTGCTGTCACTGTTTTTATCTCCCAGTGTTTTTCTATTAAATTAATTTCTGCTCAAATCTCTATTCATTTGCTCTAAATTTAATTTGCTGTTTTTACTGTCTTAAGGTGAATGGTTATTCATATGGAACTGTTCATCCTGTACAATACAAGGTGGCTTTGTTTTATTTCATGCGTACGGGTTATTTGCCTTGTATGCATGTCTGTGCACCACATGCATGCCTGGTGCCTGCAGAGGCCGGAAGAGGGTGTTGGCTCTCTTGGACCTGGAGCTATGGACAGTTGTGTGTCAACACACAGGTCCTAAGAATTGAGCCCAGGTCATTTGGAAGAGCAGCAAGTGCTCTTAACAGCTGGGCCATCTCTCCAGCCCTAAAATAGACGTTTTTTGCACCTGCAAAATTTACCAAGTTACTGCCATGTTCTTAAGTCTTGAAGGCCTTTGTTTCCAGACAGTCTCTATGGAAGTCCCCAGAGTGGGACCAGCTACTTGCCCTAATAATATCAAATACTAGATTTTCATTACCTTCTTGAAGAAGAAATTGAGACATGGTGACCATGTCTGGGTCCTGGGTTTCTTCATTGCCAATCCTGAAACACCTGTCCTTGTTACTGATTGTGTTTCTTTTGGGATATCAGGGTCTGTTTTGATGGTGTTTAATCTACAATTATTGATGAAGCTAAAAAGATATGATTTTGACTAGGTGGGGTTGGGGGTAGAATGGTTTCCTCTTTATGTCCGTGATATATCTAGACCTTTACACACACACACTTATACACATACACACACATCTACACACACACACCTCTACACATACCTATGCACACACCTACAAACACACACACACACACACACACATACACACACACACACACACACACACACCATTGGTCACATGTACAGCTCACAAGCATAACTATTGATTTTGAGGGGAGGGGGTTATTTCCAAGTGATTAAGGGCCAAGACAGCTACTGTTCCTTCTAAACATGGAAGAACCTGTCTTTTGGTCCCTCTCTGCTGAGGCAAGATCTCAGTCTGCTGCCAGTGAGTGCTCTTTGGACTGATCTGTGTTCATTTCTCCTCTTCGCAGATAGATGCTCACTGGTAGTAGCGACCATGTCAGAGCAGGGTTTGTCAAGGCTGAGGTAGCTCCCTGGACTGCTCTCTCATGTCTTTCCCTGTGTCCCTTACTTTTTAGCCCAGGCGGCCACTGCTGAAGAGTGTCTGGCAAACCCTGTAGGCATGAGCCGCTACAGCATGGACGCCTCCTCCACGGCCTTTAGCCACAGAGGCTCCTTGACCCACTCCTCCTCACAGTACTACAAGAGGCGCAACTCTGGAGACAGCCACCTTGGGGGAGGCCCTCCCACTCCCCCCGGTGGTTCCCGTACCAACCCTGTGCCCTTAGGAGGACCATCGACGCCTGGACTGAGGTTCCCAGCCTCCAGCCCCAAGAGGAGTGATGTCGAAGGAGACAGATGTGGTAATGTAATGCGTGCCCTGGCTTCCTAGTGGCTTAATGGCCTCCACCCTGGCCGTGGAGACACAGCTTGGGGCGGGCGGGATTATATTACAGCGATTTGAACAAGACACTTCTGGGAAAACAGAACTTTCCACAAGCCCCTTGAATTTTTGTTATTCTTATAGGCAGCCAGTGTCAAATTTTTGATCGTAAATGAAGGTAATGACATATTAAGTTAGGAATAATTAGTCCACTCACTCAAATGCCATCGACATTCAAGAGTCCAGTGAGGTGTTCCCTCTCAACGCAGGGCCCGGTGCCCTGTTCATCTTGTGTCTCTGCCATGCCTGCCTCTCTGGCCACCCTGCATCTAGTGGATGGGAGGGAGGATGGCATACGTGATGCCCTGGAAGGGATGGGCATGGATCCCACTCAAGATCCATTGGCAAGACTGGATCATTAGATCCCACTTACCCAGGAAGGAGCCCAGCTCTGTGCCTGGAAGAAAACAGCAGTAGATGTAGGGCAAAGAGTGTCTTTTGCACAGTGGGTGATTAATTCATCCGTGACCCGAGCTCACTGGAGAAGGCAGAAAAGACAAAAGTGTCTCAGTGCTGGTCACTAGGCCCTCCCGTCTCCCTCACCAGAGAAAGGTAATGCATGAAACATGCTCCAAAGAACTAGGGGGAGGCCCTTCCGCGAGATGCTTTACAACAGGGGGGTCCAATCTGCAGCCTGTGGCCCTCCCGTAACCAGAGTGGCAATGAAGTGAGCACAACGCGTATCATGTGACATCGTATTGCATGTCAAAGGACTGGGCACCCTTGCTTCACAAAGTCGTTTTCCAGCTTTGGTATTTCATTAGTGGATTAGAAGCCACAGCACAGAATGGATAATTTTGTGGATGAAGCAGCCTGGAATTCTGGATTTGCTCTTCTCCAACTGTATGACCCTATTCAAGTCCTAGTTTCTCTGTCCTTCTGTTTCTTTACCTGAGGGAAAAATTGAAGTGGGGTACCAGCCACCCTTCCCTCACAGAATCATGAGGAAGGTTAAACACGTTCACGTGTAGCTTTGGCAGAAGACCCATGGCCGCAGTAAGCGGTTAATAACCACTAATACCGTAGATCCATGAGTACATCCCTCACAGGCCACAGCCTATCTCCACAGCTGGAACTGCTGAGGAGGGTCCCAGGGGATCTTCAGCTTGCTCGTCCGTCATCACCCACTGGGCTGGCTGTGTGTGCCCTTAGCCACGTCTCTTCTCTAGGGATGGCTCCCTCCTCCTGTGGCTGCCATGAGCCATACACGGGAGCTGTTGTGTACAATTCAAGACCCTCTACACACTTCCCTCAAATGGCTTTACCCATCCCAGATGAGTGAGCCCCAGATGGGCCTCTGCTGGCCAAGGATGGAAAGATCAGCAGGGACCCCTTGAGGGAGAGGTGGCTGTAAAAGACAGAAAAATAAAATGATTCACTCTTTATAGCGGCAGGACCTTTTCAGGGTAAGGATTCCGTTTACGGAGCCTCTGCAGAGTGCTGAAGGGAAAATGGAGTACAGGAGTGAGCCGCTCAGCCATGCGGTCTCAGGAGAGAGCGAGGGACGTAGGTGGGAGGAAAGGGGACAGAGGGCTGTGCCTCGTGTCTCTGAAAGAACTTTCCATTCCTGCTGCATCCCATTTTCTAGAATTGAGTCATGTGGCCAGCAGCTGCAAAGGAAACTGGGAAATGTGGCTTTAATTCCAGGTGGAAACCAGGGACCCTGTTATGAAGAGATGGGGGAAGAGATGTTGTGCAGGCAACTAGCACTCTGAGCAACACTTCCTTGTTAAGAATGTTGGTATTCTCCATTTTTCTTCCCCTGGTACTTTGTTCCCTAAGTATTACTCTGTCCTGCCACACAGTAGCGGGACCATGTCCTCAGTTTTGTGAGGGTCTCATTTGTACTTGAATCCCTGACAGTCCAAGCAAAAGGACGCCTGTGTTAAACGTTCATTTGTCGAGCATCGACCAGGGACCGCTTTCTACTGTTCCTTATGGTTTACATGTTCTAATGGATCGCTTCTAAGACGTGTTACCATATACATTTCCAGGGAACACAGATCAAGAGGTCTGTCGGTTGTTGAACCAAACTGGCATGGCTGACTCCAAAGTTTGGGTCTATCCAAACCACTCAGGAGCTTTGCTAGCACTGTTTCTCGGGGTCCTTTCCCGTGGGGAAGGGGACGGAGAAGAGGGTGACGGGAATCCAGCCCCACTGTGACTCTTTATCCAGGGCCTCTCCACATTGATCTGCTTGAAACAAACCTGCCTAGCTACCAGTGATTAGAAACCATGGTGGTTCAGCATGCTGAGCTAGCGCAATACCAGCAAGAGGGAAAGCCTTAGCTTCCTAAGCCATCTTCGCCCACCAGCCAGCCCGCGCCCCTGCTGCCGGTCCTTGGCTCTCTTCTTCTCTCTGTTAAAGCCTTTTCTCTCCCTGAGTACTGCTGGATGTTCCTCTGAAATTACATCCCAGCTGAAATCCATTGGCATCCAGAAACTGTTTCTCTTTCAGTGGGTTTGACCCAACTCATAAACCCTGCAAGAAACCTAGAAATGGATTTTCTCCCCAGCTACTAATCACAATGGTTTAAAACCGCAGAGTCTGGGAAGCTGGACCAGGCTGCAGGCAGGAGGGGAGGGGGTGATGACGTGACCAGTTCTCTGCTGCCTTTCCCTCCCGTGTGAAGCCTTAGCCCAGCCTCCTGCTGTCTCTGGAGCTGGAGCTGGTGCCTGGGCTGCCAAGCCCCTGCCAGCGCCAAGGTGCTGCATGGGATATGGTTTCCCTGGGGTTTAAGCTGCCCCTCAGGTGAATATTTGGGAGCTCCTGTCTCTCATCCCAGATACAGTCAGCCAGAGCTATAAAGGGCCGTAAAGAGGTTTCAGATAACAAAAGCTTCCTGAACGTGCTATACAATTCCCAACCACAGGCAGCTCCAAGATGTAGGATCAGAAGCAAAATAAACCCGACACTGTCCTTACAGATCAGATGTTTCCTGTGGGATGGAGTTGGCCTCCATGGGATGTGGTGTCGGTGAGGGATAGAGATAATTGTGCTAGTAAAAGAGTGAGGATGAATTCCTCATGTGAGGCCTGGCATCTGCAGAGGCAAGAAAGGGCTTCCTCACTGTGTGGGGAGGAAAGAGTTAGGTCTGCGATGAGGCGGGAAACCACACTGGATGGTTTGGCGTCCTGTCAGGCAGATGGGGCTTCGCTTGTAGCGATTATAAACCACGTATTTCTGAGCAGGGGTGGACTGGTTGGTGGTGGGACTTAGGGGCTGGATCTACTGGACATTTATGGGATGGCGTGGAAGAATCCCAGCTGACTTTGGGGCTAATTCTGACCTTTACAACCTTATCCCATTTGATCCTGGCTGCCCAAGATGGCAGGTAACTAAGGGACTGGGGCGCTCTGGTCAGCAGATGTCCACTGAGCACCTAGGCAGGGACTCTTCTCAGGTCTGAGGATGGTGCTGTGAGCAGGGCAGAAGGATCCCATTTCAGAGAGACAGATCTTAGCACGTTACTGTGATTGCTGTTGGAGGTGGAAAGTGTGGTCTGTGTGACAGTGTTGGATGGGAAGGGGTCGCTGTCACAGTATCGGAAGAGGGAGGGTTGTTGTGATGGTATTGGCTGGGGAGGAGTTGCTATGACAGTATTGGCTGGGGAGGGGTTGCTGTCACAGTATTGGCTGGGGAGGGGTTGCTGTGACAGTATTGGAAGGGGCGTTGCTGGACCTCCTCACCTTGGGAGTCAGGAAAGGCTCCCGGGAAGTGAGATGGACCCCACTGAAATGAGAAGTGACATTTGAGCCCTTTGAAGGGGAGGTGTCCAGAGACTCCTGGCAGAGGCAAGCGGGTGGAGGCTAACAGTGTCAGTTGCTGCCTGAGAAGGAACGCTACCCAGCCTGGTCTGCTGGTCTCCAGTCACATCTTCTGTCCTGTTGGCAGCTCAGCTTATCTTTAAGGGTTAATAGAAAAGCCTGATTACAATATAAGGAAGGACTTATGGAGACTCCTTGTCTCTGGGCTCTGTCACCTCAGAGTACCTTACAAACTGGAATTGAAAGAGCACGAAGCAACAACTGTTTCAAACTGCCTGACTCTGCGCAGATTGTGGGCTAGCCTGGGCACCCCCACTCTCCATAGCCTTGGACACACACTTGAGGCCTTCAGAGGCGATGTCAGCCGCCTGTGGTCCACTGCGTCAGGCAGGGCCTGGGGTTGGAGGGGACCTGGAGATCCTGCCATGCACCTCTCCTGTACTCTGGAGAAGTGTGGAGCCGTGCGCAGCTGTGGGGGGCAGGGAGTTCTGGCTCCTGGCTCATCCTGGCTCGTCACTCACTTGTTTCCCTCTCCCACACTGTTCGCTAAAGTTTCCCCTGAATTATGAATGAGCAAGAACCAATTATGTGTGTGCTCGTGGGAACGCATAAGACCGAAAGAGCTCTGCAGATGTGGTATAGTACCTGTACTGTGGAAGAGGCCGAGGGATTGCTTTTCAGCACTGGGTCTGCCAGTGGTCTGTTTTTCCGTTAACCGTGAGTTTGGCTTCAGGAGCAACAAGATTGCATTATGTGCCCATTCACCACTGGGTCTCACTTTTCACATCTCCACAGCCCCTGGGGAGCGGCATGACCAAGCACAGCTTTCCCAGCGCTGGAGAATGGTGTGGATGGCGAGTGCTTTGCATGCGTTGTCCACACAGGGCTCCGTTCATTCAGCCCATCATGGCTTACCTATCCCATCTGCCCGCTCTGGCTGTGCCCGACTGGACGCATCTGTCTTCCTGACACCTTCCCAGAGGCTGGAGCAGGGTGTGGTGGTGTGTTGATTTTTCTCTGTGAGGGCAAGCCTGTTGCTGGCAAGTTCTGTTTTCCTTCCCACACTGAGTTTCTGTTCTCTGGATGTGACTTAGGCTACCTGCTGCCCTGTCTTGGATGACTAAAAGACCCCTCAGAAATACTCCTGAGCCAGCCTGGCTGCTCCTCCACCATCCTGAAAAGGGGGAAAATGCCCACAGCTGGCACCAAGTCCCAAGCATGGAGAACACTTGCCTCGGTGTCTCCAGTCTGCTCTCTACAGCCCTCCCTGAGAGCATCCCCCTCCGAGACAAACCAGGAGCCCTCTGCTCTGCTGCAGACAGCTGTCCCTGACCTCACTCAAAGGAGTTCAGGACCCCGTGCAGGATCTTATCAGTGGGCTAGACTTCCCCTCCCTCCTGCCAAGTATAGGAAATTAGATTTGACCTCTGCTCTCCTGGCTCCAGAATCATTCTTGGACTAAGGACTTCCCGCCTTTGTAGTCAGGACATCTATTACCACCCTGATTAACAGCCATGCTCCCGTGGGCGGGCCCTGGAGACAGATGTGGTTTCTGTGATTCTGCGGCCCCATGTTGAGTGCAGATGTCTTTAAACGGAGTCAAAAGTCACCTTTCACTGGTGCACATCAGCGTTGGAAGGCTCTGGGAAGCATTAACAGTTTCTTAGCAAGATGCTTGGTGCCAAACCACCTTATGGGACCCTTCCAGTCCCAACAAGGAAAGGTCAGGGAAAAAAAAAATGTCAAAGTAAACCCAGTTCTCAACCAGCACAGATTCAGAAACGGGATGGCTTGCTTCTCTCGGGGCAGGAGCGCTGGGCACTTCTCGGGCATAGCAAAGGGGGGGGGGAAGCGTGGAAGAAAACAGTTTCCTCTTAAGACTTAGAAAAGGGCACGGGCATCCACTTCTCAGCTCCTAGAATTCTCCTGTAGGGAAGCTGCTGTTTGTTCAGAAGCGTGGCCTTTTTCTAGCCTTGAAGTAGTGGCAAGGATCACTCACACAAAGCTAGCATGCTTCTGCAAAACATATTGATCCATTTCACGGTCGTCAAAGCCACTCTTCGAGTGTATTTATTGTCTGCACAGCTGTGGAGGGGTCAATGTAATATATGACCCCTGTAATGAGAGGATTTGGGTTGTGTTGTTCACCAAACACTTCTCCCAAGACCAAGCCAGGGAAGAAAGTGCTGGGTACATGACGGTGAAATGAACACTGAGGATTCTCGGGGGTACAATCTAAAGGCTACAGAAAAGTACGGGAGTGATGGAACTGCAAGGGATGTGGCCGTGGTGTTCACAAAGGGGTCTGATGGTCCCTGGGCTAGCAGCCTCTTGTGTTCATGTTCTCTCTCTCTCTCTCTCTCTCTCTCTCTCTCTCTCTCTCTCTCTCTCTCTCTCTCATTTTATTTGTGTGTATGTGTGTACAACATGTGACTACGTCATGTACATGTCCATTTGTGTGTGAGTGGCACTCTGTGTGTACCATCATACTCATATGGAGGTTCAGAGACAATCTTGGTGTTGGGTCCTTGCCTTTCCACCTTGTTCAAGCCAGTGTCTCCTTGCTGCTTTCCTGCTCTGTACACTAGGCTGGCTGGCTCACAGGCTTCCAGGGACTCTTCTGACCCCTCCTCTTAGCTCCTCTTAGAAGTTCTGGGATTGCAACATTTCTGTTATACATCTTCTTTTTATGTCAGTTTTGGGGGATTCAAACTCGGGTTCTTGTGCTTATATGACAAATGTGTTACCCGCTGAGCTATCTCCCCAGTTCCTAATCCCTAGGCTTTGATGGTTGATGGGATATCAGTGGGAAGGAGGAGGGCAAACAGGAAGCAATAGGAAAACGGGCCATAGTCAGTGTGCCCAGATGGATGTGGAGGGAGCCTCCTTCTCTCTGTGGAACACCCGTGGTAGGTTGACCAGAAGGCCCAGTTCTTGCCCACTTCAATACCCATAACCAGCCCTGATCTAAGATAAATTGTCATCTAGTCACAAGCAAGGGAAGCTCCAGGATTTGTCCCTAGGTCCCCCAGCCCAAAGTCCTTCCTCTGCATCTAAGAAAGGAAGGGACTACGGAATCACAATACCCCTATTGACTTGGACATATAGTGCATAGGCAAGGGGACTCAGAGGGACCTTGAGTGGCAGATGTATACAGACACATCTTGGTCTCGGGGACAGCCTGAGACAGTGGCAGTCATGCTAGACAGAAAAGAGCAGAAACAAGGAGACCCTTGGGAATCGTCTCAGGGGACAGGTATATTTCCTACTTTTCTCATTCCTGTGAACAAATACTTGACAAGAAGCAACTGAAGGGACAGGGGGCCTAGGTCAGTCAGCTCAGTTTGGAGTTACAGCCCCCCATGACCAGGGCATGGAAGCAGAAGTTGCTTGAGGTGGGACCGTGGAGCTTGGTCATTTCTGGGTATACCAGAGAGCAGAGAAAGGGGAATGCTGGCATTTACCTGGCTGCCTTAGCTAGAGATTCTATTGCTGTGATTAAACACTCTGAGGAAAGCAGCTCGGGCAGGGAGGGGTTGAATTCTTCACACAGCTTGTAGTCCACCATCCAGGATAATCATGGCGGGTACTCAAGGCAGGAACCTGGAGAAAGGAACCGATACGGAGGCCGTGGAGGAGTGCTGCCTACTGGCTTGCTCGGCCTGCTTTCTTATAGCACCCAGGACCACCAGCCCAGAGGTGGCACTGCCCACAGTGTGCTGGGCCCTCCCTCATCAATCATCAGTCAAGACAACGCACCACAGGCTTGTCTACAGCCAATCTGGTGGGAATGTCCTCTCAATTGAGTTTCCTTCTTCTGGCATGTATCAAGTTCACATCAAAGTAGCCAGCACACTGGCTTTCTCCACCACTCCCCCATTCAGTCTGAGAGCCCAGCCTCTGGGTGGTGCCACTCACATTCAGAGTGTGTCTTCCCTTCTCTCTGGAAATGCTTCCCAGAGGTATGTCTCCTGGGTGATTCTAAATCTAGTCACACAGACAATACAGATTAGCCATACCATTATCGGTATGAGTTTCCCAAAGATTCAGCAGGGATGGCAGGGAGAAGGGCCAGCGGGAGAGGCACCCTCCGAAGGACTCAGAAGAACCCAGTGCCGGGGACAAAGGACAAACAGCGAGGTAACATCATCTTCCTCTGAGAGCAGGTATAGACAGACCCTCCCAGAGCTGCTGGAGGTTAAGTGGCCGATTAGCCACTCTGCAAAGTCCAAAAGTGAACGCCCAAACCACCTCAGTTCTGCCACAGCTGCCGTCTCCAGGGGACCCAAAAAGGGCCCGTTATCACTTGGCCCCACAGCCCACAGAGGCCCATTGTACTACCACTTAGCTTACCAGCCCCAGCCACCAAGCGCTGGCTGTAGCAGACCCTGGGCCACAAACAGGCTCTGGAGAACTTCAGCTGCACCAGAACTTCTGTTTGTTGAGGACAAAAGCTCCCCCAAACTCCCTTTCCTGGACAGCATGGCACAGAGCATCTGCTGCCTCTCTATGTCCTTGCTCCTCACTGAGCAGCCGCTCAGCATTCACCGGCCACAGAGTCGCTTGGCCATACCGTGGACTTCAGAGCACCAAGGACTCCTCCCAGGCCAGCCAGGGGTGGGTGCCCCGAGAAGGCAGCACCAGGAGGGCGCTGACCTTCGCTGGCTCATGGTCCATTTTCTGCTTGTTCCCTTCCAGCCTCCAGCCCCTCTCCAGAGGTGCCGGACATCAGGCGACTGAGCAGCAGAAACCCTTCGACCTGGACCGTGGAGGATGTGGTTCGGTTTTTGAAGGACGCTGACCCTCAGGCTCTGGGGCCTCATGTGGAGCTCTTCAGAAAGCATGTATGAAAGGGGTGGGTCTGGAGGGAGGGCCAGGGATTGGGATGCATGGAGTGAGAGGGGAGTTCAGGATCCCCCAAATGCTTGTGATCTAGACTAAGCCCTACCTGTCAGGCTTGAGTGAGCCAGAGATGAGAGAGATGAAGGCAACCGTAGGCCTGTCAGGGCAGAGCGACCAACAGCTTTGTGTTTTTAAGTCATACTTTTCTCATCTATTCTCTCTTGGGCCTTGACTGCTTTTCTGCACACTCATCCATCTATCTACCCTCCCACCTATCCATCCACCCATCCACCTATCCATCCATCCATCCATCTATCCATCCATCCATCCACCTATTCATTCATCTATCTATCCATCCATCCATCCATCCATCTACCCTCCCACCTATCCATCCACCCATCCACCCATCCATCCATCCATCCACCCACCCATTCATCCATCTATCTATCCATCCATCTATCCATCCATCCACCCACCCATTCATCCATCCATTCACCTATTCATCCACCCATCCACCCATCCATCCATCTACCCATCCATCAATCCACCCACCCATCCATCCATCCATCCATCCACCAGTCCATCCATCTATCCATCCACCCGTCCATCCATCCATCATCCACCTGCCCAACCTGTATGCATCCAACAGTCATTTGCAACACACCTACAATATGCCAGGCAAACTGTGGTCCAGCCTGTGCCTACTGTTTAGTGGTTCTCAACCTTCCTACTGCTGTGACCCTTTAATACAGTTGTGAACCCAGCCATAAACCTATTTCGTTGCTAACTCATAACTGTAATTTTGCTACTGTTATGAATCATAATGTAAATATCTGTGTTTTCCGATGGTCTTAGGTGACCCCTGTGAAAGGGTCATTGGACCCCATAGGTGGAAAACCACTGGCTTGGAGGGTTAAATGAGAAAACACACATAAATACGTTATGTGAGGCCTCGCTCATATAGCCTTCATGTAAATGTTATAATCGTTTAGCTACTTCTGAAACATATAAGTAGGGAGACGATAAGTAGGGAGGAAGATAAGAATTATTAGGTTACTTGCTCAGCTCACTATATTAATTCTGGATTGCTGATATAACAATTTTTATAAATCCAGGGCCCTAAGACAACGGACATTGCTTGTCTTTATTTCTGTGGGTCAGGCAGGAGCCTGGCCAGGGTCTCCATAGGCTAAGATCCAGGTGTTTTCAGGGGTACATTCTTATTTTAGGGGCAATCTGCTTGCCTTTCCCAGCTTCATGGTCCTCTTTAAAGGCAGGAGCATCAGGCAGGGTCCCCTCGGGCTGACCGGTCTGTGGATGAGTTTAGTTGGATGACCAATATCGTACATGGGCTAGCAGGACTGTGGGTGAAGTTCTTTCTGAGTCCGTCAGCCAGGAAAGGTCGGGAATCTGAAAGGTACAAGGTGAACGACTTCAGGGAGGACATCATGTTTGTTTGCTTTAACTGTCCCCAAGAGCTCTCCCAGAACCCGTAGCACGTGCTCTCTAATCGACTCACCCTTAGACCGCCCGGTTAGCTCACCTCGACCGGAGCTGCCGACCGGCTGTTCTGACGGTCTCCTGAGTTTTCTCTTCCCGATCCCTTCCCGCCAGGAGATTGACGGCAATGCCTTGCTGTTGCTGAGGAGTGACATGATCATGAAATACCTGGGACTGAAGCTGGGACCCGCACTGAAGCTCTGCTACCACATTGACAAGCTGAAGCAAGCCAAGTTCTGAGGCTGGTGGAGTTGGAAGCAAAGCCCCAGACCTCAAGATCATCTTCTGCCTGACCAGCACCCAGCCAGCATCACAAGCAATTTGTCTTCTTACAAGTGACAGCCACAAAGACTTTGTCTTTTTACAAAATGTGCATCTTTGCCATTTCTAACATTCCAAATGGCCCCTTTCAGAGGCTCCACTGTGTTCATTGATTTGTCAGAAAAATCACAAAAGGCCTGTTACATCTAATATTCCTCACATGCTGGTCGCTCTTTATGGGTGCTATTTGTGTCATGACAGAGTGGATAACTGAATGCTGCCACCCTAGGAGAGCCCTGGAAGGGGCTTTCAAAGTTGAGAAGGACCTTGTCCTTGGTGGTGGTGTGGGGTTGCCCACGGCAGGAGCAGCCTCTCCCTGTTCTGGGGACCTATCAGCCTGAGCCTCACTGGAGTCAGCTCTGGGGTGACTTTCTCCCGAGGATGACTTGCCTCACCTTGCACTATCTGAAAACTTCAAGTTTTTTGGCTCCCTCAAAGAACAGTGAGGAAAAGATGTTTTCTAGCCCTAGCTCCTGCAGTCCTTCATTGCTCCACCAGAGGGCAGACTGCACTGCTAATGAGAATTCAGGATGCTGACTGCCGTGGTCTGCTCATTCAGAACTCAACGCTGGGTTAGGGCTTCAATGAGCAAGATCTGGCCTGGACGGGGACAGGGGATTAATGCCACAGTCAGCATCCCAGATTGCCACTTGAGAAGAAATTGTGATCTGGGGGGTTCCAGATTCACTACTGACTGACTGTCGAGGGAAAAAATCTGGACGCAACTGTCTGCCTAAACAAAGATTTGGAGTCCCTTCCCTCCCAGACTCTTGCTGAGGGCTGAGATGCTGGCGTGCTGAAGAACCTTAGTGACATTTATCGATGTGTGTTTCTTGAAGATAAAGAAGGGAAGAAAAACTGTCTCAACAAGCGTGGAATGAGGGAGTGCTGATTTTGAGTTATGAGGCCGCACTCTGTACCTGTGTCTGTGGCTAATTTTTCTAGTCCTCGACAAATACACAGATGTGTTTTTATTGGGTTTAATTCAATTTACAAATAGGTTTTCACTCTTCACTGTGAAGTAATAAGAAAAAAATTGATTTTCTGCCCTGGCAGCTGTGTCCAGCGAGGGACGGAGTCACGGTTTACCGAGCAGAAGGGTGACCTCTCCTCTTTCTGCTGTCCTTTGTCAAGTCCTTTCTTTCCCTCTGTTTATAAAGACTCTTAGAGAACTCCTGGGCACATCTTTTTCCTTAAAGGCGCGTCTGGGGAGGGTGAGGATCAAGAGTAACACAGGGCTTCCCATGGCCACAGCGTGAATTAGGAAAGGCGTCTCCGCTTAGGTTGCAGCCTGAGCAAGGTCTCAGCTGGCATGTGGAGCCGGAGGGGTGTTGACCCCTCAGCTCTCAGCCAGATGTCCTGCTCCAGAACAAGATAAGGGGAGCTTCTTGGATGGAGCTACCTACTGTACAGATCAGCTAGAATTTAGGCGAAGTCCACAGGAAATTTCCATGGTATGCTGCGGGGCCCACTTTGATGTCCCCTGTTTGAGAAAGTGTGATCTTTGTTACATGTACAACGGTGGTTGGACTTGAAATAAGACAGAGAAGGGGAAGAACGTCCCAAAGCTTCCCACCAAATGGAACTTGATCAGTTTCAGATGAGCTGGATGTCTGGTATTTTTAGCATGCGACAAAATGACCTTGAATCAGACCTTGGGGAGAGTCTTTAAGAAGTTAGAAGCAGTGAGCAGACTCTGCCTTGCGAAAGCTTGTTAGGGCTAGGTGCTCGCCGCCGCCACTCTGAGTTAGATAGAGCCTTGTTTCAAAGAGCGTCGGACAGTTCATAGAGACAGAACCAGCTGCTGGTGTGGATGCAGTGAGAGCTAGAAACATTGCTCCGCTCAGCCGTGGGTGCCCTCTCCCTGTAGACTCAGGGTACCTCTTCCAGGGACACAGACTTCTTAGTGACTTGGAGGATTAAGCTTTCTAAATGTCCTGCCTGACCTTACCTGTGCCTCCCTGATGTCCCCAAGTTAAAATATGCCCAAACAAGTCAAAGAGAAGCCAGCCTCAAGGAGTCTTTGAAGGAGAGCTAGGATCTGGTTCAAGTCTGTGGGGGGCCTGGAGCTGTGTCCCCACACAATGCCTCTCAGTCAGGTGCTGTCTTATTTCACACAAAGCCTTAAATTAGTTTGATTGCAGAATCCCAGACATTTAAGGTTTGGCCAGATTTTAAAAGATGAAGAAACTGAGAAACAGTTTCATTTTTCCCGGCATGAAGGCTGCCATGGCACAGAATAACCAGTGGAACCAATTCTTCTTGCCTGTTTTCGCATGGAATCTAATTAGCTGACCCAATCATTGTAGCAATGCTACAATTATAATGAATTTTCATCCCTTTCAAACCCTTGTCAAACAGGGCAGCTAACTAGCTTCTCGAATGTCCAACACGCCAGGCCATTTCCTCTAAACAGACCTGAGAGGTCGGGCCATAGGGCTTACTCCGGTCCAGATGAGAAGGACTCGAACTCGCATTTGACAGTTAACAGTATTGCTATTCCATCTGCGTAGCTTTGCTTCAGGTTGTAGTGAATAATGATCAAATTTTGCATAATTCCAAATTAAAGAGTGTGTGTGCTCATGCTCCAAACATTTCCAATTACATTTGTCTGTTAAACAAATGGGGAAAAAAAATCAAGAGATAATTCTGTTGCCTAAAGCATTTTAAATGTTTTATGAAATACATTATTCCCTTTGTGAAGATTTTAGATAAAAGATGTGGGGCGTGTGTGTGTGTGTGTGTGTGTGTGTGTGTGTGTGTGTGTGTGTGTGTGTGTGTATATATGTGTGTGTGTATATGTATGAGTGTATGTGTGTGTGTGTGTCTCCTGATACTGGAGTTGGAATATGGAAGGAAGTGGTTGGGAGGAAACCATGTTCTTAAGCATCTTTCTGGATTTGTAATGTGGAGGCAAAGCCAGTTTAATGCTATCGCTGTTACTAGAAGGTGTTCCCTCCTACTGTCGCGGGGCCTGGCCTGTGGACAGCTAGGTGACCAGAACAATTCTGGCTTCTGGACTTGTTCCTCTCACGTGGCTGACTTGACATGCCAAACCCGGGGACCTGGATGCCCGAGGAAAGGGTACCCTGGGGAGCCCCAGGCAGAGAACTGCTGACTAAGGGTCCGGTGTCTACCAAGGAGGAGGACCTGCTATTTCTCTTCAACGGGTTCCTCAATGGTGTTTCCCTTTCAGTAGAAATAAAGGGGCAGAAAACCTCTCAGAAAGACCAAAACCGCGTTCAAAATTAGTAACTTGGGAAGGGATGCTGGGCTGAGAGTTTCAGAAGCAACCAGAACATGCAAACACACACGTTTCGTAGGAAAACAGTAAAAGAGCAGTTGTGTGGACAGTCCCGGCCCATGACACGGCCATAACCTATTTTCACATCTCCGTGCTATCACAGAATACTTCTTAACATTAAAACTTTAAATTAAAAAAAAGTTTTTTAGATTCTTTTAGGGGGGTTTTGTTGACTCTTTGAAGAAAATTGGAAACAACCAATGTTCTATTTGAACATTATCATCATCAGAAAGTCTTGACGGGCTTTCTGATCTCTTCCTGAGGAACGGAGAGGTGTTCCTATGCATAGGCTATGGGATGCGTGCTCACGGTGGGGGCCAGACTCACATTGTTTAAACCACAGATAAAGACATAGGCTGTGAAGGAGCAGCTTTTTTCTTTTTAATTGTGACATCTTATTAAGAAGAGGGGTAACAAAAAAAAAAACCAACTCTGTGCTTTTTTTTTTTTTTTTTTTTTTTTTTTGACATGAACACACTGAGCTGAGCCCCTGCTCTGCTTTCCTGCTGTGTGGCCATGTGACTTTACTCTCAGTTCCATGAGAGGACCAGACTGAAAACCCCTGAGGGAAACCCAACAGATGGTCAGATGTCCAGAGGCACAAACATGCCTGCTTCCATATTGCCAAGTTAACAGCAGCTGTCCAGCCGCCCGACTCCAGGGCATGGATGCTGGAGCCTCAGCCCCCTCCATGTCCTTCCCGCCAAGGCTTAGCCTCATCCAACGTGATTCCTTCACGGACAATTGGAAGCTGGGTTTTTCGGAAATCTCGTATTTACTTGAAAGAGGATCACTCTTATTTATTGCCACCAGTTAAAGATTATGGCAACACGTCTGCTAACAATTTGCTTTGTGTAATTTCGTTCCTATGCTAATGAACAACAGCTGGGACACTTCCTGCACCAAGTTCCTCTGCGGTTACAGCGAAGCCATCACGGGGGCTGCACCAAGCGCCCAGCCTAAGAGCGCACACACCGCCCTGCGACGCTGTGCTGGGCAGCTAGCCGCACATTTCCCCAAGCTGCGCCCCTGACCATGTGCGACACTTCCTACCTGGAGACCCGGGGTTTCTTGGGACACTTAGCAGGAGGCAGAGAAGGTAGAGGTCAAGAAAGACACCATATCCCAGGCCAGCGGCCAGCAGGACCGGGACGCAGAAAGAGTGGGAGGACCGGAAGATGACAGACGTACATCAGAGTGGAGAACTGGCTTGATGATGGTTGAATCGTGATTCTAGATACCGTGGGGACAGCAGCCTCTTTCTGCCTGAACAGATCCACAAGCTGCTCAGACTGGCGCAGTCATTGTCTTGACCACATGGCCTGCGCCCTGTGGCTCAGTGCTTGGCGCTGAGGCAGAAGAGCAAGCCCAGCTCCTACCAGCTCCCACGCTGGACACACCCACAGCGTGCTTCTTCAAACAGCTCCCTGGGAAATGACTCCCACCGCGTCTTTTCTCAGCAGCCAGGTACTATCAAAGGCTACTTTCATCAGAAACGGAGCAGCCTCGAATCTCGTGATGACTCTACCTCCCCACTCAGGATTGCCTTCCCTGCGATCGTGCGAGGTGGCTCTGCTTGGCTTCTTCCCATTACAGGGAGTTCCCTCCCCTAGGAGCTGGCTTATCGCTCTGTTGGACAGTTCTGGTTGTAATAAAAAAAAATTACTTCTCAGGGAGACACAGATGTCTGTGAATCAGACACGAACATCTGAGGTGAAGCCAACTCTGAAATCTTTGTCTTTTTAACAGAGTTTATTCATGCAGTGGCCACCTCTATAGCACAGAAATTGGTGAGTTGATCTCAACAACAGGCTCCCTTTCTTCACAGGAGAAGAGCGGACACCATATAGAAGTTGTACCCGGGTGCTGGAGTTAGGTTACTATTGCTGTGGTAAAAACCATGACCAAAAGCAGCTTGGGGAGGAAAGGGTTTTATTTATTTATTTTTTGGTTGGTTTTTTTTTTGTTTTTTTTTTTTTTTTTTTTTTTGATTTTTCGAGACAGGGTTTCTCTGTGTAGCTTTGCGCCTTTCCTGGATCTCGCTCTGTAGATCAGGCTGACCTCGAACTCGCAGAGATCCGCCTGCCTCTGCCTCCCAAGTGCTGGGATTAAAGGCATGCGCCACCACTGCCCAGCAAGAAAGGGGTTTTTACACCTTATAGTTTCACATCACTGTCCATCACTGAGGGAAGTCAGGGCAGGAACTCAGACAGGGCAGGGACCTGGAGACAGAAGCTAATGAAGAGGCCATGGACGAGTGCTGCTCACTGGCTTGCTCTTTCTGGCTTGCTCAGCCTGCTTCCTCATATACCCACAGGACCACCAGCACAGAATTGGCACCACCCAAAATGGAATGGGTCCTCCTACATCAATCCCTAAGAAAACATACTACAGACTGGCCTACAGGCCAACCTCCCCCATCACCCTGAGACAAGGTCTCACTATATAGCTCTGGCTGTGCTGGAACATAGACCAGACTGGCCTTGAACTCACAGACATCAGCCTGCCTCTGCCTCCCGAGTGCTGGGATTAAAAGCGCATGCTACCGCACTCAGTTTTAATTAATTATTTCATGTATATGGGTGTTTTTCTGCACATCAGAAGAGCGCTTCAGATCCCATGGGACTACAGCTACAGACAGTTGGGAGCCACCACATGGGTTCTGGGGATTGAACTCCGGACTTCTGAAACGGCAGCCAGTGCTCTAAACCACTGAGCCAGCTCTCCAGCCCCTCCACGGGCCAATCTTAGGGAAATATTTTCTCAACTAAGAGTCCTTCTTCCTAAATGACTCTAGTTTGTGTCAAGTTGACATAAAACTAGTATGGTGGTTTGAATAAGAATGTCCCAATGGGCTTATATATATATATTTGAATGCTTAGTCACCAAGGAGTGGCACTGTTTGAAAGGATTAGGAGGTATGGTCTTGTTAGAGAAAATGTGTCGCTGGGGGTGGGCTTTGGGGTCTCAAAAGCCCAGACAGCCCAATGGCTCATTCTCTTCCTGCTGCCCACAGATCTGGATGCAGAACTCTCAGTTACTTCTTCAACAACATGTCTGCCTGCATGTCATCATGCTCCCCGCCATGACAGCAATGGACTAAACCTCTGAAACTGTAAGCCAGCTCCAATGAAATGTTTTCCTTCATAAGAGTTGCTGTGGGGGCTGGAGAGATGACTCAGCAGTTAAGAGCACTGGCTGCTTGTCCAGAGGACCCGGGTTCAATTCCCAGCACTCACATGGCAGCTCACAACTGTCTATTACTCCAAGATCTGACACCCTCACACATACATGCAGGCAAAACATCAATGCAAATAAAACAAAAATAAATAAATTATATATACATACATATATATATGAGTTGCCGTGGTCATGGTGTCTCTTCACAGCCATGGAACAGTGACCAAGATAACTAGACATGTCATAGTCTTCAAATTCATCAGGCCTGTCACTCATGAAAAAAAATTTTGTAGTCTCACCAAAAAAGAAAAAGGAGTTGCTGGGAGAATTTACAATGTATTTATACATCTGGCTGCATTCATGTAAGCATATGAGTTATACATGCTTAGGTGAATAAACCTAGGTGGTCACATGCTACATTAACTATGAAAAAGATACTCAGAGATGTTGAGGCCCTGTATCTGTGACACAAGGAACTATGTATTGTTGTTCAAATCTTAGATGGTCTTTTAATAAAAAACTCAGAGCCCGATATCAGGGTGAAAACTGAAAGATCAGAGAAGCCTTGAACTCACAGAGATCCAGACGGATCTCTGCCTCCCGAGTGACAGGATTAAAGGTGTGTGCCACCACTGCCTGGCCTGTATGTTTAATCTAGTGGCTGGCTCTGTCCTCTGAGCCTCAGGCAAGTTTATTAGGGTACAGAATATATCACCACAATGTGTGCTTTATTTGATTAAAAACAAACAAATCTATAATCGGTGACAGGAAGAGAAACAGTCTGCCGTAGGTTTCAGAAAGAGCAAAGCAGTTTATGAACCCACACAAGTTTGACCTCGTGGTCCTGTGTGCATGTCTGAGAGAGCATGCAATTGTGAGTCAATGCAACAAGCGTGTAGAAGGTTAGAGGAGGAAGGACACAGAGACGACGCTGTTTTCTGAAGCCTTCCTTTGAAGAACTATCTAGCAATGACTTATTGAGAAAGCAGACCCCACAATACACAGTGTGTAGTGTATCCAGCTTGCTTAGATAAAAGTCTGGATGATGCAGTGGGGTCAAGTGAGAATGTTCAGACCCAGAGACTTGGAGAAAGCAGACAACACCCAGCCTGTGGCACGGTGCATACGCCTGGCGTGTGACACGGTGCACACACCCAGCATGTACACCCGGCCTGCGTCACGGTGCACCCAGCCTGTGGCACGGTGCGCACATCTGGCCTGTGGCACGGTGCATACACCCAGAGTGTGACATGGTGCACACACCCAGCATATACACCCGGCCTGTGGCATGGTGCATACAACCAGCAAAACACTTCGTTAAGTACTTGACCCATTTTTCTGTTTTCTCCCACACAGAACTAGATTTTGTTTTTCAATTTTAACCAAAGAGGAAACAGACGGTTTTTAGGAAAAGGGGGGCACTCTGGTCATGAGTGGGCCAGTGAGCAGGGCAAGGCCTGAGCGCCAAAGCTTACCTTGTTCTCTTAGCCTCCGACTCCAGCTGTACTTAAAGTGCCCTGAGACAGGTTCACAGGAGAGTTCTGGGCCTTCACTTGCTCTGGGGTGCAGGGTTTTCTAATCCCTCACTCTGCCCTAAGGCCTCAAATTCTGATTGTCCTGATGTCTTCCGGCAAGAACACAGAGCAACCGCTGCGTGTTTTCAGTTTATTGTGTTGTTTTCATAATTTTTTTTGAGACAGGTTCTTGCTGGGTAGCCCAGGATGGCCTTGAGCTCACAGCCTGATCTCCTTCCCCTTCCCCCAGGTGCTGAGATTATAGGCATGTGTCACCTTGTCCGTCTACAGCTTTACTTCGGTAGCACCTTTTCCTTTTTCTTTCTCAACTCACGCTGCCTCTTCGAAATGGGAGCAGGGATTCTTCCGGCTGATTCCTTCTCCCTAGGGCAGACCTCTCTGGGAGAGGCAGGTGCCTGCGGCCTTCCTACAAACGGCTGTTTCTTCTTGCTCTGATGGAGAGCGCCCAGTACCCAGGAGGTAGGTAGGAGGGAAGATCCCCTCTCCTTTTCTTCTCCCCTGAGAACAGATTCAAAATAACAAGGGCTTTCCTAACCTCCCTCACCCCTGTCCCCCCCCCCCACATAAGTAGTTGCTGAGGAGCCTTGAGAATAGAATCAGTGACTGAATTTTTTACATAATCAAAAAGCTCCAGAGGGCTTCACTTCAGTGAAACCACTAAAAGGCCTGGGCATGTGTTCTGAGGAGGTTGCATTGCTCAGGATCTGTTCGGTGCATTTCTTTGGAGACGGTCTTTAATGCACTGTTGAAGTCCATCACTGTCCCTCACGGCAATTCAAAGCCACTGGGACGGTGACTGATGACGCGGGAGTTCACAAACTGAAGTCTGAAGGTCTGTGTCTTCGTTCCTATGAGTCTGACTTTCTCTTGTGTGTTTTCCTTACTTGGTACAGATGATTTGAACAAGAAGAGCCGTGGTTTGCTTGTCAAGACTATTTTAAAGGGCGGCATTATTTGGATAGGAAATAGTCGGTGTATACTATGGGAAGTAGTCTCATGGAGGATCCCGTGAGTGTTTTCAAATGCATGGATATCAGCCTTACACCTGGAACCCAGAACCCCAGAGCCGAGAGGAGAAGCATTGTGCATCACCTGCCCAGCTTACCTGGGGGTAGAATCTTCTCCCAGTCTTCTGGCAGTGGTTCTCTGCAGACAGCAGAATATAGAACCAAACAAAAACAAGCTCTCCAGCTGGCCACTGCCCACCCCCACCTCCTCTAGCATCGACTGGCGACTGGCGACGAGCTTATGCAGGTGAACCTCAAAGTCTTTCTGGCCAGTCGTTTCAGTGAAGGCTGATGCCAAACCACCACCGCTGTGGGGTTCTGGCGGTGGGCCCCACCTCCTTCTCTTTCCTGAGCTCATTTTGGCCTCTTTGCCAGGCTCACCTCATTCAGACACTTCCTGATGTTTTTCTCTCTTGAGTCTTCAACTCTTCAAAACATCCTTGGGCTGGAGAGATGTTTAAGAACACTAGCTGCTCTTCCAGAGTCCCCACATGTCAGCTCACAACTCCAGTTCCAGGGAATGCAATACCCCCTGCTGGCCTCCATGGGCACCAGACATGCACATGGTACACAGACATTCATGCAGACACAACACTCATACATATACAACAAATTTTCTCTCAAAAAAGGAGACATGAAACCAGGTGGTGGCGCACACTTTTAATCCCAGCACTCGGGAGGCAGAGCCAGGTGGATCTCTGTGAGTTCGAGGCCAGGCCTGGTCTACAGAGCAAGATCCAGGACAGGCACCAAAACTACACAGAGAAACCTTGTCTCGAAAAACCAAAAAAAAAAAAAAAAAAAAAAAGAAAGAAAAGAAAAAGGAAACATGATATCCTGTTGGTGGATGTCTTTCTGTACCCTGTGAATATATGTTGTTATTATTAGTTAATAAATAATCTGCTTTGGCCTATGGCAAGGCAGCCTAGAGGCAGGAGGGAAATCCAAGGAGAGAGACAGGAAAGAGAAAGGCAGAGTCTGGAGAGAGATGCCAGACTGCCATCCTGGGAGCAACATGTAATGGGATGCAGGTAAAGCCATGGAACACATGGCTATTCATAGATTAATAGTTATGGGTTGAGTTAAACTCTAAGAGCTAGCTGGCAAGAAGCCTGCCATAGGCCATTCAGTTTGTGATTATTATAAGCCTCTGAGTGATTGTTTTATAACTGGCTGCGGACTGCAGAACCAGGTGGGACTGGAGAAACTTTCCAGTTACAAATCCTTTTCCTTGTGTTCTTATTTTCCAATTCATTCTCCCTACCTCCATATTTCTTTTCTCCCTTCTTGTTGTTTTCTCCAATCTGTTGTTTCTTCCTCTCTGGCCCTGTGGGGCTGGCTGCCGCCTGGCTGCCCCCACCCATTACCATCTGCTCCAGCATTTCTTGGCTGTCACACTTCTTGCCCCGTATTTACTTGTCCTTTCCATTTTAAGGCTCCACTCTAAACCCACAAATAGAACAGAAGTCTCCCTTTGATGTTCCTTCTGTGACTCATGCCAGTGGCCCACTGCTTGACCTCCTGGACATCGCAAGAACAACGCCCATCCCACCAGGCGTTGCTTCTCATTCAGTCTTGAAGGTCAAGTGCCAAGTGGCCCAGGTGACTTGCTTCTCCCAGGCAGACCACCCCCTACCACTTGCAGCAAGTATACTAATGTCCAAGAGCATTCTGGGACTTCTCCTGTCCAGCCAGCACTGAAGACAGAACAGTCACCTACGTCAGAAGGATTTCTGGGGTGAGGCTCTGTTTTTAGGCATTTACAAGTCTGTTGAGATGTGAGCAATATTAAATGGCTGAGCAGAGAGCAATGGAGATAAATTTCCTAGCCTTTCCCAGCACAGTTCCCACCCTGAAGGTCTTTCCAGGGGTCAAATTAGTTTCTTTCTCAGGAACTGAAAATCTTTCTGTTAAAGCATGAGAGAGCTTTGTGGACTTGGATTTCCTTATTATCCATTATTTTATTTTCTCAGCCACAATATTTAATTTTCTGTCATTAGCTAATCTTATCTTTGATTTCTTGGGAATTAAGGGGGAAAAAAGACAGCCCCTATTGGCTTCAAGAAAATATAAAATATCAGTTGCATTATAAATCAAATATTTCCACTTTATAGACATTGGCTAGATTATTGCTCTCCATTCTATACATAGAAATAATTATTAATATAAAGATTTCACCCTTTAACTGCATTTATGAATAAATTTACTTTTAAATTCTCTATATGTGCAAGAAAACTAAATAAATGGATTCAATACAATCTTTTTATCATAATTACCTTCTATTTTTTCTTTTCACGAGCAGGGGAAAGTTTTGCTAATGACCTGCTATTGTAACGTGACAAAGCTTCAGGAGGCCAGAAGGTGTGCTCTACTCTAGCCCAGGAAGAGGTTGTCATTCTGTGACAAGCCTCTTGCTCAACAGTAAGGGCGCGTGGGCACTGGGAAATCCCGGCGGCCTGAGCTTTCGAGGTGGACCGATAATGACTGGAACATTGAGGCTTTTGTTCTGTAAGCTGACAAGTTCATTTGCAGAGTCTTTCAACTCAACCTTAACTAATCTCCTCTTTATTCGGCTTCATTCCCATGTGCCCACTTGGGAGGCTTCATGACCTCACCCTACCTGGGAGGTGGCTGCTGCACCCTGTCCCTGGGCAGCCTCTTCCTTCCATCCCTGGACTGCATGCAGCAGACAGAAGCCCAGGACACAGTAAGGCCACCTCCCGTCTCAGTGAGAAGCCGTCGACTGTGGTCCGGGTCCTTTATCCTACATGACCTTCCCTCCTTTCTGATTAAAGACTTGTGAAGGCACAGACTCTGTGTGTGTGTGTATGTGTGTCTGTCTGTCTGTCTGTGTGTCTATGTATATCTGTCTGTGTGTCTGTCTGTGTATAGCTGTCTGTATGTGTGTGAGTGTGTGTCTGTGTGTGTGTATGGGGTCTATGTATGTGAGTGTATGTATGTATGTCTGTGCATGTGTGTGTCTGTGTCTCTGTGTATGAATGTGTGTGTGAGTGTGTGTATATGTGTGAGTGTGTGTATATGTGTGAGTGTGTGTGTGCATGTCTGTGCTCCTGTCTCTGTGCTTCTGTTGAGGTTGGGAACTTGAGGAAAAGCTGAGCCAATAAAGTTTGTGCATCATTTGCTTGTGTGGGGTACTGGTGTGAGCAAGGCCTGGAGAATGTACTGTGCATGTTTGGATTACTTGAAAGCCATCGTGCTTTACGTCATGTGGACCCAGTGGGATCCTGGGACATCACTGTAACTCTATGTTTCATTTAGAAGTGCTTGTGAGGAAGAGTGGGACTTTATGTTTAGGGAATGGGGTCGTTTGGGGGCTAACTTAAAAAACTACCTATGAGCCGGGCGGTGGTGGCGCACGCCTTTAATCCCAGCACTCGGGAGGCAGAGCCAGGCGGATCTCTGTGAGTTCGAGGCCAGCCTGGTCTCCAAAGCGAGTTCCAGGAAAGGCGCAAAGCTACACAGAGAAACCCTGTCTCGAAAAACCAAAAAAAAAAAAAAAACAAAAAACAAAAAAAAAAAAAAAACAAACAAACAAAAAAAAAAACTACCTATGGTTGTAATTTTTCGGGATAAACAGCAGTGAATAGCTCTTGTTGGAATAGTGAGCAGTATTTACACTGGAGAAAGAGCCCCAAAGCCTGTCACCTAGGGGGAGGGGCCTTGCCTTAATTTCTGCTCTTTGAAAGCATGATACAATCAGTGCTTCCCAATACTGGTACAATCCTCTCACCTCACGGTGTTCCTATGTAATTGTGTCACATAATGGGACATTGTAACAGGCAATTTGGTTCTGTAATTCAGTTTGCGAAGCATGCAAACACGAGATAACTAGGTTAAATGCAAATCAAGTGGGCATCACACCAAGGTGCAGAAAACAGGGGAAAGCTGTGGTGTCCAAACGTAGAAACAGCTTGAGTTCTAGTCCTCCTGGACCTCAAAATGGGGAGTTTATTAAACTTATTTATCTGCCGCTTTAATGCTGTCACACTCTATTCATGGACACACACTATTTCAGTGTGAACATGCATGTGTCCCTACTGTAAACACTCGCCAGTTTCTCATCAGTGACAAGCAGGCTGTAAGCATAGCATGTTCTTTGCTTCTTAAGGATGTATTCACCTTTGTAACGGACAGAGCCTTAATATAAAGGCCACGGTAAACAAGTTTTGATTTTCCGAAGCTTTTAAATTATTGTTATTCATAACCTTTTCCTTTGGGCCAATTTGTTCCTTATTTAGAAGTCTGATTTTATAATTTTGGGGTTTTGGTTTTTTTGAAACATGGTTTCTCTGTGTAGTCCTGGCTGTTCTGGAACTTGCTCTGCAGACCAAACTGGCCTTGAACTCACAGAGATCCACCTGCCTCTGCCTCCCAAGTGCTGGGATCAAAGGCGTACGCCACCACCGCCCAGCTATGATTTTGTTTTTTAAGCACTCTCATAAATGTAACTAGTTGGTGCATTATAGTCAGATGTATACAGTGTGATAAAATCTTGCTGGTCCTAATTATTCTACTAGTTTGAGGGTATAGGTTCCTTTTTGAGGTGTGTGATTTTCGTTTTTAGTGAGTGACATTTTTTTAGAGCCATCTATCACTAGATTGGGTGTGATTAAGATTTCTAAACCTTAAGATTTCAAGGTGATGCAGCTTTTTTTCTGTTTGTGCTTCAGAAACAAACAACTTCTGTTTTTACTATAGAATGGACTCTGTATGAGGCTGTGTGTGTGGCCTTCATCCCATCCACTCTCTGGTTCCAGCCTGAGGCAGCCTCTCACCAACTGGGCTCCAGGCAGCCACCACACACAGGCTCTCAGGACTTACTGGAGGATTCCAGGGCCCTCTGGGGAGTGTCTTTGCCTTCCTATCCTCCCATAGGTAGCAGTGGGTAGGGACAGGAGATGTGATCTTAGCCCCCATGGGCGCGTCCCCTGGAGTTAGCTTGGGCCAGTCTTTCTAGGGTCTCTATGCATACTTTTTTTTTTTTTAATGTGTAGCCCAGGCTGGCCATGAACTCGTGATCCTCCTGCCTCCGCCTTCTTCAGCAAATCCTACAGCGTGCACCACCACACCTGTCATATGCTTACTTTTGTAAACTGGCGCTCCAGAGGCCTTGGCGGGTTTGAGCCAAGGTGCCCCACGCGGGTGAGGGAGACATGCCATGCAGGCAGCGGCCAGGGGGACACGGAGGAAAGTTACTCAGCCATGCAGACATAGCATCCACGTTGAAAGTTTTATTGGGGGAAGGGCGAAGGGAAGAGACAGAAGAAGAGAAAAGAAGAAGGAAAAGAGGAGTTGCACACTACCTCATGGCAAGAGAGAGGATGAAGAGAGGAGAGAAGGGAAGGGGAGGGTGTTTTCCTCAAAGGGAACTTTACTAAGATGACCTGGGCGGGTCCCCAAGGGGCGGGGCTGACTGCTAACATTCCCTAACACTGACTGCTAACATTCCCTCCTCCTGGTATCCAGGATGATTCAAATGAACTAAGTGCTTGTCATGGATCCAGCCCAACCTTGACCGTCGAGACCCACATCTCTCTCTTGTTCCTTGCGCTCAGAAGTGATCCTTGACAATGTTAATGGTTCCCCACTGGGAAAAAAAAAAAAAAGATTCGGTGGGTGGCGGAAACCTCTGGTAGCCAGATGCAGTGGTACACCCTTAATATTGTCACTCCAAGGCAGAGGCAGAGGATGGCAAGCTGGGGATCAACCTGG